GTCTCCCAATGCTCCTTCTAACACTTTGAAGATTTCTAGCACTTCTTTCTTGCCTTCTTCTGCCTCTTCTTTGTTCTTATTCCATGTTATCTTCCTCCCAGAATCATATAACTGCAATTGCATAATCCCAAGATTGTTATTCAAAGTTAAATATACAACTATTGCGCAATTGTAAACATATAAATAACAATAACATTGACACAAAAATTTAAGTTCTACAATGCGCCTATGTCTATTGTAGGGCTCAAAAGCTTACTAAATTCAAAATAAGGTTACATACTGTTATTTACATAGAACTTTAATCCCATGACTTAATTAAATAAATGACCACTGGACTTTGCTATGGTTACTACTTGCTCATCGTTTTTTAAGTACTTGTTACTCACCGAACTTTACTATATGTTACTACTTACTCACCGAAATTTAAATTTTACTCGTTGCTCATCTAAATTTGAGCAAAGATACTCGTTACTAATTGAACTTTACCACTGATGAAAATGACATAAGTGATTAGTGGGAAACTTTATTCAAATTTGGGTGAGTACGATTTAACATTTTAAATTTAAGTGAGCAAGTAGTAATCTATTACAAAGTCCAGTGAGCAAGCAATAACCTTTTAAATTTCGATGAGCAAGTAATAACATATAACAAAATTCAGTGACTATTGATTAAATTAACTACCACCTACTCAACAACTTATAAGGACTTACTCGAGTTGCTACTCTTAACTAGGTTATAGAGGAGCCGCTAACCTTATATGAGGAATTCGATTTGACATATACTATTCAAATGAGTACACGAATCTCAAGATTAGTATTCTCAAACAAATAAACATGTTCAAAGTAAATTCAAAATAGAATAACACAAAATAAATGCATAATTATAAGGAAAACATGAACCCTAATTCTTAAGATGACACCGTTTACCTTTTTGTCAATGTAATCAGCCCAAAACCTAGCTTGAGCTTTTTCATAAGGATCAGAGGGCAGAAGTGGAGTTTTATCATTCCAAAACTCATCAATGTATTGAACTATAATATTTGATTCACAAATTGGTTTTCCATTGTGAATCAAGACCGGGATTTTCTTGTGAACCGGGTTCATCTGCAGGAGCAGTGGAGACTTGTTTTGCAAATTTTCTTCCCTGTACTCATAATTAAGCCCCTTCTCTTCCAGTGCAATTCTAACCCTAGCTCCAAACATGCTTATCCAGTAATTCAACAAAATCAATTCGTCGCCAGCCATTTTCTTGATTCTAACAAGAAAACCTCAATGCCAACGAATGTGTGTGTAAGACCAGAATTTCAAGAATTATTTTCGAAGGGAAAAGGACATAGAAAGTAGTAAGAAATGGGTGAATATAAATAAAAGGAATAGGGCGGTTGTATTTATTACATGTTTGGCTATGCTAAAAAATATACTTAAAAGTAAAAAAGTTACTTTTAAATGTCCCATTTTAAGTTGAATAGCCAAAACGCTTGTGTGTTTCAAAGTGGGATTTTTCCCTTAATAGTCATTTTCAATATGGTGGCTCATTTAAGAATGTCGATATTGAAATTTGTGCGCTCATTTGATGTTTCAACTAAGGCCCTGTTTGACACCCATTTTTATCTAATTCTCATTTTCATTTTTTTTCTCTCTCTTCATTTCAACCACATATTCTTCCAATAAAATAATATTACACACAAATTTAAAACTTTTCATAACTTTTCCACCACATAATCTCCCATCAATCACTATTCCAAAAATTTCATTCTCCAAAATCATTCTCCAAAAAATGGGTTTCAATAAACTATGATATTATATTAATTTTATCAAGAAATCGCCCCTTTCATTCTTGAGCGACGGAGGAATTGTACTATTCGAGCCTGTTCTTTCTCATGCTTTTCTCGAGGGTCTCGAGAAAGTTGTAATCCAACAATACTTGAGGTCTGCTTGGTGCCTGAAAGGGCATCAAAATCGGATTGCGCCATTTTTAAAGATCAATTTTTTTTAAGGAAGTAGCTCAAACCTTTAATTAAATTGTACCTTTTAACACTGCCAAACATGGAATTGAAGGTGGGGACGGTGGACCCATGGTCTACATCGTTCTTTGCAACCTAGAAAAATCGAATATAAGCATATTCTGGAAGTAGTAGATAGAATTAAGTCATTGCTGTCGTCATCATATTAAATTTATGAAATTAGTTTTGAAATTTTGATGATTTTTTTTTAAAAGAATTTCTAACGATAAATGCACTCTAGAAATGCTTGTTGCGTCCATGGAGCGGGTTTGGGACAGGATAGTAGAATTTCTCACCGCCCATCTTACGAGTTCCTCTTCCTCGTAAACTCCGCTTGTTCTTAAATTTTACTACCTTTGAAACTCGAAAAATTATCGACTATGACTTACCCTTCAAATCTCCTTTCAAATTTGCTCAAGTATGGCTTAACTTGAGTCAAAATCGACCCTTTTAGCATGTCTTAAATTGGATGGTATGCCTTGTGTGAACTCCAATCTTGTAGTGGAGAAGTGGTGATGTTCTTTATCGTGATGAAATGCATATAGGACCGAGATGTTGTGATGTTATCCGAATCATCGAGCACCAATGCTAGATGCTGTGATGCTATACGAATCATCGAGCACCAATGCTGGCCTTCGATGCTTGGATCCCTAGGCATCACGACCGAGTATTGCAACATTTTTACGTGACTATTGTGATGCAAGTGCGGGCTCTGACCCTAGCTCCCCCACTCCGCCCGCCAATCGTACCACCTGCAACTCATTATCACCGTAGTCTCACACCCTTGATATTGTAATCTATGATCACCAAACTACCAAAAATGATAAAAGTATTAACAATAATAAAAACCATGGCTAAATTATTTCGTGATCGATCATTGATTATGTTTCCAATTTATCGATTAATTCGAATAGAATCTACCCTTACCCTTCATCAACTCATTGAGTTGAGCTTGATAACTTGTAAATTATTGAAACTTATTCGAACTCGACTGACTTATTTAGTTGCATCTCTCAATATAATTGTCACTAATTTCTTGTACTGAACTAGACAAAATTATAAAGAAGACACATGAATCGGGATGGTTTTGTTCAATTTAACTCATCAAATATATGTTGATGCTCTATTCCTGATTCTAAGTTGCCCCCATCCAAATTCTAACGAAAATAAAATGGCTTTCAACCAAATTACTATGCTAAAATGCCAAAAAGTAAATAGAAATTATAGGAATTAATTCGTGTTCTTGAGGTGGTATTCTTTTTACTTTAAAATAATTTCTAATCCAATTCATGTGTTTAGTTTTAGGTTTTTATCCACATGAAGAATGGATCTAAAAAAAAAAAGAAAAAGAGAAAAAATTGGTCGGCGCTGCGCTGCACTCTGCCTGGAAAGGCTTGTGGCACCGTAGCTACGATAGTGGGCGCCGCGGCTCCGTAGCGAAAAAGGAGAACTTTCAACCTTTTGGACTCTTCTTTGAGCCATTCAAATTCTAATCTTCTTGAGGACTTTAAAGACGCGAGAAGACAACCAAAAATGACATTTTTTGAACAACAATCAAGGAGGAAAAACAAGAGAACCAACAATTTTATGGAGAACTAAACATTTTGGTGAAGTTAGGAAGGAACTCAATTGGATTAGGTGATTTCAACATTATTTGATTCATAGATTTAGATTTTCATTTTAAACAATTATATGGTTTAGACTTTAGATCTTCTTTTCACAAAAGTATTTTGAGATTCATTTAACTTTTATTAAATTCTTCATAGATTCAGTCACGCTTTCCATATTGAATGATTGAAATACTCGTTCAAGTTAATCTCATTTATTTATTTTTACTGATGTTATTCATTAATGCTTTATGTTTCAAGTATATGGTTGTTTTTGAATTTTATTCTAGTAAACAAAAGTATGAATGTGCTATGGCAAGAGAGTTTATCTTTAAAATTATAATTGAATTAAACTGATTTTAATGACATTTTTTCCGATTAAAAAAACTAGATTGAGCATCTCTAATTGAGTTATAAGAATAAATCATTGATAACGAGTGACCCAATCCAAGAGAGAATTTGACGCTTCACTATTTCAAACCTTGATTTTATTTTCATTTAAACAAACAAATTTTTTTCACACTTTCAAAATAACATTCACCTTTCGGATCCTTTTAAGTATTTTTAATAATCTCCCTATGGAATCAACACCCCAAAATTGTGCTATAATTACCACGTTATTCTTTGAGCGCTATCACCACATAACATGACACAACTCAACTCCAACTACTAGATCGTAACACAACACAACATTGTCTCGTACAACACAATTCTATGCTAATGTGGATGCAGTCGACATATTCAACAAGCTTCAAGCATGCACTGAGTAATAAACAAGTATCAAGTATGTGATTTATTATGAGTTTACATGACTTATTTTATTTACATATTGGTCAATTTATCGCTTTTAGAAATTGGTTCATTAGTACTTAATATCATATCATGTCTCCATTATAGACGGGTTTTTGGATGAAACTTGGACGTGAAAAAAGAAAATCTCTTATGCCGATATTATTGTATTTGTTTTTTGTATTTCACACCCCAAAAGACAATGGCCTTAAAAAAATCGAGAAGATTAATTTTATGTTCTTTTGCTGATTCTAAGGCAGAAATTTTAAGGAAAGATGCAAAACAGATAATCAAAACAATAAACTACGAGACACAACTGAGTGTTTTCATTATTAGAAAATATATTAAAAATCACACGACAAGAAGACACAACTTAAGACTCCAACTCCTAAACCTAACAGAAATGCAAATAATCAAACCAATAAACTACGGGACACAACTGAGTGTCTTCATTATTACATAAAACATTGAAGGTCACCCCCACGACAAGACAGAACTAAGACTCATAACTGCTAAACCTAACACGAACGACACATAACTCTATGCTAGTCCGAATTCGACTATTCGGGTTTATTCTCAAACATAAAGAACTCCTTGATACTCTAATCCAAACCCCTAATCTTTCTGAACTTGAGCACTGTTTCATAGACAGTTTTGGGATCACTAAGAGACTTGGCAACAGACTTCCTCTCTAAGCACCTCTTGACCCATGCCATTAGCTTAGGACGTTCAGCCTCTATACTAAAATTGGCAATGGTTTCATAGGCATGAAACCGCATGTAGAATCCAATAAGAGAAATATCCACATATCCAAAGTTTTCACCTCCAAAATAAGGCTTGTCCCCCAATGCTCCTTCTAACGCTTTGAAGATTTCTAGCAGTTCTTTCTTGCCCTCTTCTGCATCTTCTTTGTTCTTATACCATGTTATCTTCCCCCCAGAATCATATAACTGCAATTGCAAAATCCCACAATTGTAACTCAAAGTTTAAGGATAAACCTCTGTTTGTGTTAGCTACAAATTATATTTTCAATAGATTTTGATTAGAAAAATGAGTTTTAAAAAATGGGGCAAACAGGACTTAATATGATATGAGAAGCCATTGTCTTCAAGATTAATTAAGGGTAATTCTTAAATACAATAAGGATAAAATAAGTACATAGTATATACCTTTTTGTCAATGTAATCAGCCCAAAACCTTGCTTGAGCTTTTTCATAAGGATCAGAGGGCAGAAGTGGAGCTTTATCATTCCAAAACTCATCAATGTATTGAACTATAATATTTGATTCACAAATTGGTTTTCCATTGTGAATCAAGACTGGGATTTTCTTGTGAACCGGGTTCATTTGCAGGAGCAGTGGAGACTTGTTTTGCAAATCTTCTTCCCTGTACTCATAATTAAGCCCCTTCTCTTCCAGTGCAATTCTAACCCTAGCTCCAAACATGCTCATCCAGTAATTCAACAAAATCACTTCATCGCCACCCATTTTCTTGATTCTAACAAGAAAACCTCAATGCCAACGAATGTGTGTGTAGTGTGTGTTTAGGACTGCATTCAAGAATTATTTTCTAGGGATTCTAAGTAGAAGGATGTAAGAAATGGCCAGATATATAAGACAAAGAATAGGGCGGCTGGAGTTATTACACGTTTGGCTAAGCTAAAAAATACTTAAAAGTAGGTTACTTTTAAAAGGTAACTTGATTAAGTTGAATAGCCAAAATCCATTCTTTAACGTGTATTTGCAATATGGTGGTTCGTCTAAGAATGTCAATCTTAATCGTTTGAGAATCGGTCAAATCAAATTAATTGTTTTCAGCTAAATGAACCATGATACTATTTACTAGATCAAGAAATCACCCATTTCATTTTTTAGTAACAGATAGATTGTATTATTCGAGCCTTTTTTTCATGCTTTTTCTGAAGGTCTCGAAAAAATTGTAATCCAACAATGCATCAGGTATTTGGTACCTAAATGGGCATCAAAATCGGATCAAGAAAAGTAAAATCTATGAGTGTATTGATTAATTGTACCTTTTAACACTTGCAAACATGGAATTGAAGGTGTGGAAAAATTAGTTGACAGAATAAGTCATTGCTGTCGTCATCATATTAAATTTATGAAATTAGTTTTGATATTTTAATGAATTTCTAACCAGAAAAATCATTGATTATGTTTCCAAATTACCGATTAAGAGTGTGTTTGAGTCACATTATTTTGGAAGAATGTATTTTGAAATAGTAAATTGATAGAAAATTTATAGTTGAAAAACAAAAAAGGAAAAGTGGTTGATGTGATGGAAAATATTATTTTATTGAAAAATGTGTGGTTGAAAATGAGTAGAAAAATTAAAATGAAAATTTTAATGTGGCTCAAACATGGACTAAATCAAATAGAATCTATTCTTACCTTTCATGGCCCCAGGGGCATAGTTCAGTGGTGCAAATGACAAAAGTGATGTAGTCTCAACTGAGCTGGCAGTCGCAGTGTGAGGGTTCGATTCTTGCCTCTTACAAGGTATGAAATTTGACTCTTTGTGAGCACCAATACGCAGCTCTGTACTCTGGCCCGATGAGACACATCCCGTACCTCATTTACGATGCACTATGGGAGGGACGGTGGGGGTCCCTCAAATTTGGAGTTCAACCTTTATTCTTACCCTTCATTAACTCATTGAGTTGATCTCGATAATTTATTGAAACTCAACTTGTTTATTTAGTTGCATTTCGTGATATAATTGTCAATTAATTCCTTCTATTAAACCATACAAAATTATAAAGAAGACACATAAATCGATGGTTCTGATCAATTTAACTCATCAAATATATCATCTGAAGCAAGAACAAGATCGAAATTATATTTCAATTGAGTTGAAAAAAGTAACACACAATCAAAACTTAGTCAACATGGAAAATCAATATACAACACGTAATTTCTTCTATAATTCTCTTAGGGTCTGTTTAATTGGTTTAATTTTTATGGAAAATGTTACATCGAGGAATTCAATTTTTACTTTGGTTTTTTGATACAAAAGTGGAAATGAAGTTCGAGTTCCAAAATACAACCATTTTAAACTTTTTTTTTTGCCAATTCCATGAAAAATACATTCATATGGGGTACTTGAGTTTTTATTTTCCAACTTACATATATAACTGATTTATCATATCTTGACTGCTTCTTGGAATTGGAATGCTTTTCCACATTTGCCCATCAAACGGGCCCTTAGCGGAAAACTTCACCAAGTGCGAAACAAAATCGAAAGATCAAAAATTTAAATTAAATTCTCAAGCAAATTTCTTGTTCTTGTTATGATTGTAAAAATAATAATTGCGATTAGAGTTTTAAGCTGTATTGACAACTGCTGTTGGAAAATTCAAAATAGGTTGCGACCAATTTAAGTGATTGTTTAAGTGTAATTTTTTGTTTGGTGAATGAGAAATTAAACCAAACTTAAAATGCTTAAATGCTTAATATTGTTGGAAATTGTATAGAATATTATGGAATATTTTAGAGAATGAGTAGATGA